ATTTTTTCATATGGATAATATAAACAAATACTTATATTAAGTATTATTGTTAACTCTTGACACGCAAAATCATTGAAAGAACACATTCAGAACCTAATAAATACTCTTTCACGTCAACTTTTCTATTCTGATGAAATTCTCAAAAGATTTATCTTATAGTTTTTACTTCTTTCCTGAATAAAAATATGGAAAGTCAATATTTATTGATTAATATCTTTTCGGCGCTTATCAAAGTATTACATTAGTTTTCTAAGCTCGAAAATATGATTAACTTATAAAATGGTTGCTCGAGTCTTTAATGAGATTGAAAAATAAGAACTTCATCTCTCAATATAAAAGCATATTATTTACCTTTTATCTACATAAAATATAGATTGGAAAAGAAAAAATGTTAAAATAATCTATTTCCAATTATGAATTTATTCTAGGCTCAAAATCAATAAGCAGTGACCAATGTTTAAAGTTATATTATTATAGTTTTAGAGTTTATTATTAATTTTAATTCTTTAAGATTTTAAAAATATTTAAATATTCAAAGAAAATTCATAGAAATTTCAACTAATATACATATAATTAGTTATTTTTCTAAATTCTATTATTCAGAAATAAAAATTTAAATATAGAGAGAATTTATCAGAGTCAAGGTAATATTATTTGGTTATCGGTATTGCGTGACGACGACGACGAAGTTATAGATTTATCTAACGATTAACATAAGATTAATAAAATGAGTTTTATCAAAAATAAATAATAAAATTATTTTACAGATTAAGTAAAACTTCTTAACAATTTGAAATCTACTGCTACTCTTTGTATTCTGAATTATTCAACCAGAAGAAGATTTTTAAAAGGATGACTTTCTTCTAAATCTTGTCATTATGACTTCTTTAGGAGATTTTTACAATAAGATAAACAAGATTTTAACTTTATGTTCAGTCGATCTCGATGAATTTTATTGTATATGTGCAGTGAAACCACCTTCCGATATGATCCTACTAAATAAGAATAGTTATATCCAATCATTTTCTCTTTATCTTCTAGAAGATTATGTTTTATCCAATGTTTCTGAAAATTTCTGAATAGATTTTTTCTGGTTCATATACTCAATATTCACTCCATCGATTGTGGGACTGTCATTTGTTTATCTTTGATATCCCCTTATTCAACTTGTCGATGTTCATAGTGGATGATGTCTGAAAACGACTATCAGTTGAATAATGCATAAGGCCATTCGGCATATCGTTTTAGTCTAAAACGAGAAAAAATTTTCATTCGATCTTAGTCTGCTTAGATTTAGGTGATTTCTACACACATCATATTGTATATCTCATTTTCTTTACGTCATTATCTATGGGTCCTATTGTAAATTTCTTTTTGTATATACTTTTTGTACGTTCTTTTTTGTTATGTTAAATTATCGAATGAAAGTAGATATTACCAATCTATACGGAGATTAATTAGGATCGTAGTTATTCAGAGAGATGCATCGCGGTCACACGCCACAACGCAGATATACAAGGTTAGTTACGTATAACCGTATTGTATTGGAATTAGTATTATCATTAATAATTAATAATTAATAATTAATAATTAATAATTAATCATACTACTTCAGCATTATTTGACATTTTAAATAAATTAATGTCGATGTGTTAGCATTAATTTGTTATTCATTTTAATTCTATAACATGTAGACGGTGTAGATTTTGATTTGACTACTTTATCTTACCACATATAAATTTTCCGATGTTACTTGAGAATGGTACTTGTTGCATTTTGAATACTATATCGATATATTAATTCTAGAATCACAGGTGGTCTATGTAGCACTTGAAAACCTACTCGAAGCATATTAAACAGTAACTCTCTAAAAGCTGCACGAAGTACATGTATTAAAATTTTAAAAAAAATTCTATTCTAATACTAACCCCATGGAAATTATTTACCCTAATGACAATAATACTAGAGCGTCCGTCTTAATCGTTAATACAAATACAAAAGCACCGTAAAATTATATTTCAAATTAGACGAACGATTTTGTTTAGTTTTAATTGATTCAATTCAACATTTAAACTTGACGTGTATGACAAGTTTAGATATTTTGAATGAACGTATAGAAAAATATGTAGAGAAAAATAATACCGTCAGTATAATATGATTTTATTTTAGATTTTTCTCATAAAAGGCGTACTGTTTTTTGTTTTTTTTGTTTTGTTTTTTTTGTTAGATTTGTCGAAGAAATCCTAAAGTGAATTATATAATAAAGCATAGATATATATATATTACTTCGACTTTCACTCCTGAAGAATTAATATAATATCATCAAGTACGTTTTCATCTATATAGAATTTTAAAATTCTATTTGTTTAATATTATAGTGGTAGAATATATTCATACTGGTCAATCAATACTCTGAATTCTACAGCAACGAAAATATTCAATAGAATAAATAATGTTTGTATTTATATTTTCTTAATAAATCTGAGTAAAATAATCTTAATTAATTTAAGTTCATTAAGAGTTAATAACAATAGAAGATATGAATTCAATTGATTCATTTCAATTCGGTGATGAATCGATGAAAGAAGTAAATAATGAATCAACAATAGTTATAATTAATGTTAGTGGATGTCGATATGAAACACGATTATCTACTCTCGAAAATTTTCCCGAAACGCTTTTGGGCAATGAAAATAAACGAAAAAATTTCTGGAATAATCAACGAAAAGAATACTTTTTCGATCGACATCGAGGTTGTTTCGAATGTATTTTGCATTACTATCAAACAAATGGACGTATTCGTCGACCAGATACTATTTTATTAGATATATTTATTGAGGAAATTTTGTTTTTTCAATTAGGTCCAACAGCATATGATCAAGTAAAGGAATCGGAAAATTTAAAAGAATTTAAAAATAAACCGATGCCGAAAAAACATTGGCGCAAAGTTCTTTGGTGCCTTATGCAATATCCTGAAAGTTCGTTAGCAGCTTCATTTATCACTATCACTACGTTAATTTTAACTGTTCTCTCTTGTCTCACGTTGGCTATTGAAACTTTACCCATGTTCAATGGTTATTCCCTAAATTCTTGTTTTAATCAAGCAAATATTTCTCTTAACACAAATGTTATTGTTATTTGCTCCCAAGTATTTGCATCACCATTTTTCATTATTCAAACTATTTGCGTTTCTTATTTTACAATCGAATTTCTTCTTCGTTTAATTAGTACTCCATCTTATAAACGATTTTTTTTGTCCTTTTTTACTTATATTGATCTGGCAGCTATTATTCCTTACTTTATCTATTTAGGTTTTGCATTAAATAAGTCATTTATCTATATAGATCCGGAGTCTACAATCAGTATAAATGTTTTACTTGTATTACCTTTATTTCGTATATTAAAACTATTTCTTATTTTTAAATATTTGAAATCATTACGTACTCTTGGTACAGCTATTAAAGAATCTTTTGCTGATTTTATTGGAGCATTTACCGGTATACTTCTTTTGGCATTTCTATTCGGAGCAGCGTGTTATGTTGCTGAAGTTCAAGACAATGGAGTTATGTTCGATTCAATTCCGAGATCATTCTATTGGGGAATAATCACAATTATGACTGTTGGGTGAGTAAAGTAAATTTTTATTAAAAAAATGTCTTTTAATCTATTTTAATAGCTATGGAGATATGTATCCGATAACATGGGCTGGTCGTACAATAGCTTGTATATGTGCTTTATCTGGTGCAGCTACGATTGGTACGCTCATTTCAATTCTAGTCGATCGTTATCAACGTGCCTTTAATCGAAAGACATACTGGCCCTATCACTATCAGCAAACGTCATCGATCGAACTCACTAATGTTAATACTAAATTAGAATAACAAAAAAAAATTTCTATCAAAAATAATTCCTAAAAATAATATCACTAGTATATAATAATCCCAATTTCAGTATTTTATTCAATGGTAACACTATAATAATGATCAGACAGTCAATAGAGTCAATTTAGATAAAACAAAACAAAACAAAACAAAATTTATAAAATTTTAACGAACTATTATCAAAGATATTTGTTCTCAAATGATTGATGATGATAGAAGAATCATTACTCAATCGAGTGTTCATTCATTGTTAAACACAATTTTCAATAAGAAAAAAAAAAACAAAAAATCATAACTTTAGTAGATGTCACTCCTAACTTATCTATTTGCTCTTATTTTTTATAAGATATATAGGTTTTTTGTCAATCTCTCATTTATAAATAAATTATTTTGATGAAAAACCAAGTTAGACTCAATTCATCCTCATTTTATATTTTCAATCTTGTCTCACAACATAATCAAGAGAAGATATTTAAATTTATAACGGTCGACAATAGTCGTGCAGATAATTTAATTGATCATGACTTATTACAATGATTATCAATCAATTTTAATGATTTCTGAAAATCTTCACAGTAGAGAGAGATTTTTAGTGAATAATCACAGTTTTCTACGTAGAATTGAATGAAAATAATAAAAATTCATGTTGAAAAAAGTTATGTTATGACCTCTTAGGGTGTTAGTAGAGTTTCTCACGCAATTTTTCTCAAACAGTTAAATGAGAAGTGAAACACAAATTTTCTGTCGAACTCATATCCAATGAACATGTTTTACCAAGATAATCAATAAAGTTAATTTGTTACGTTTCTGCTGTTAGTTCTGCTTTGATCTATATTTAGAATTATTATCATCAATCAGCTTTAAATCCGGATCATCAACGAATAACTGACGAAGTAATTTTTCACAGATTAGTTCTCGTGCATAAAACTGTTAATCAGTTGTTTTTTTTATCTTCGTTGATTTATTTTGAAACTAAATTTTCCATTGTTTCCTTGAAACGATGAACAATTCTTACGCTAATTGTTTTCCTCTTATTTCTCAATAATAATTTTATCTTCCGTGGTTGCTGTTCTAGGACGTCAACTTGATTTTAACCTGTCTCGTTATTTTATTCTTTCTTTCCTGTGCGCTCTCCAATATCCTACAATTTTTACAGTACAAATAATGAGACTAGCAACTATATTGTTACTAACTCTTCAATCCTCTTTATGTTTAAATAGAATAATAATTTAATAGCTTTTATACGACAATAAATTATACATGAACATAATCAATGTTATATGATTATTGATAAAAGAGAAAATTATTTATATGAAATAGACACATAAGAACGATATGATCAGTGTCAAATTACTTTAATCAACAGTTGTTACTAATTGTTACAATGAAATATTGTACACGCTATATTTTATATTTTTTTTCTTCTATAGAAAATCTTAATGGTTAAATGCTAAAAGTCTAAGGTTAGCAGGTGACTATCACCATGTAAATCGACTATTAGAGAAAAGAAAAATAATTTCTTCCTTTGGGTAAAGGAATTTTTTCGAATGTAAGATTATATAATCTATGTAGTTACGATAGTTATTCTATAAATATCTCATTCTATCACATAAGTATTGTGTGCGGTAGATACAAGGGGGTAAGTGCTGCACCATTGCACCAAAATATGTTCAAAGGTGCTGAAAAGGTGCTGAGAAATTGCAGTGGCGCTCACAAAGTTTTGGGAAATATGATAGAAATTGAGGTTATCGCTAGGGGTGAGAGTCATATTATCATAAGTTGATTTTTGTCTGCTCAAATAGTTCATACACTCTAGAATCGGTCAGTATGTCCAGCCGTCCGGTCGTTAACACGATAACTTTTGAAAGGAGAGTTCAATCGCGATGAAATTTTCTACACAGCTTAGTCTCATCAATGTCTCGGTCGAGTTCGAAGATGAACAGGATCCGTCAAGAAATGGCTGAGTTATAGAAAAAATTGTCGTTATTGAGAAGACCATCCCTGAGGGGGAGTACAGGGATTTTTTCNACGGGCCTTGGGGACGAAGGCAGTAAGCGGCCTAAGGACTACGGACTAAAGGGCCTAAGGGACTAAGGCACCAAGCCAACTAAGGAGTTCTTGAATTCTCGAGTTTTATAATATGTACCCTTCGCCGATAAGTTACTTTTATTATAAAAGGAGATGCCATTGATATAATGGGAATAGAGTGTTATTCCCTAGACTGAAAGGCTAAGGTCTAGGGCGCAAAATTCATGTGTGTCTGTTTGTCCATCTGTCTGTCCCTGTGAAGCCTAGTTACCAATTGGTGACTATGATTAAAATAAGTCGCAAAAAACATTCAGCGCCAATTTCAATGAGTTAAGCTTTTATTTAAGGAAAAAATTAGGCACCTGTTTTTATTGACATGCATTTTTTAGTGTTTGACAATTTTTTATCATACTGACTTCGATTTAATTATACAACATTATGAAAGAATTCATGATGATATGTTTCAAAATGTATCGCGGGTCACTATTATTATTTTCACTCGAAAAATAAAAGTTTAAAAATCAGTTATCTCTAATTAGTGAGTTTTTTAATTAGTAAGCTGATTTAGTACATAAGTGTTTACTTTAAAAGTCTTTTCTATAATACAACAATGAACGTCAGTGTTCATTTTTAAAAAATAACCATTATTAATGTGGTAAGAAGGACACGATCCGTTTTCTTACTGTCTCTCATTATTAATATATCATCAACGTCGAAGTAAGAAAGTTTCTTTTATTGTTTTCTTTATGAGACAGTTTTGGAGTGCCACATCAGTTACAGACGTTGCCACAGCTACTTGTCATGGGGGAGGCAGCTGTGCCTCCTTAAATTCTTCAGATATCAGTGATCATCAGCTTTAGGAAATGATCTTTTAAAAAATTCTGGGGGCGTAGCCACCTTTAACCTTCTCTGTTGTCTCTGTTATTCGTTTTATGAAACAAATGACTTCTTTTTATGAAATCAACTATCTTTCTTTTATTTATCTAGTGTTTTACTTAAGTATGTTTATGTTCACATGAGGTCGCATCTATGTCTTTAATTTGTCAGTCTAGGGAAAAGTGAATCGACTCTCGATGAACATTACTTGTTGATTAGTGCAATGGATTACAATTTTCACTACAGCTTTATTTTCGGTTTCGTTCTATATCTCATTTTATTGTTGTGGTTAGCTTGGTAGATGAAGAACATCGTTTATTAGGTTAGACGGAAGAATGTGGCAGTTTGAAGCTTGTCAAATTAGAATAGAAAATGATGTATATTTGTGGAAAAAATTTATTTGTTGGCATAGATATATTGATATTTTACCCTTGAAAAAGAAATTATATTGTTGTTTACAGGTTTAAAAATGAATGCAATAACATATTGTTGCGAACTATTTTATAGCATTTTTTGGTGGAGAAAGTGTATATTTCAATGATATGTTATATGATATTATTTGGTGTTATGGTGTTTGTTAAGGAATGATATTATAATTGTATTGAATTCATTATGGATAGCTGAAATTAATGACAATCATACAGTGAAAAGTAGTAAATTAAAAATGTAAAAAAAAACAATAAAGATGATAATATGAAATAAAGCAATGGAAATGGATTAGATTATAATTGTTCGATCAAATGGAAACGAAATTAACTAAAAGTAAAAATTTCGATAAATTGAATAGAAATATAATATCAATGATAAGCAAGATTTTGTCGACGTTTTCAATGAAAATTGTCCTTCATTAGAAGTTGATATTAAGTATATGATTTTAACAATCTATATATTTTCCTTCTTTTAATGCATAATAATGATACAGATAGGATCACACGGTAATATTATTAAGGAACGACATCTATGTTTCTTCGTCTTCATTGGTACCACCATCGTATATAATAAAGCGAAAGAAAAAAATATCGATTGTCAAAATTGTACGTTTAACATCGACTTCTGATGAACGAAATTCTCATTGAAAAGGTCAGCAAAATTCAGCTTATCATTTGTATTATATTTCAATTCAATTTATCAAAGCTTTTACCTCTATCTATTTTTTTTATAAGATTGATTAGTTATAATTTAATCTATTGCCTTATGTCTTATTTCATTTTATCATCTATATTATTTTTTTTCACTTTTAATTTACTACTTTTCACTGCGTGATTATTATTAATTTCAGCTATCTATAATTAAATAAATTTAATCTATAAAACAATTAAAAATAGAAATAATAATTGAATTAATTATAATTAGCCAATGTCTATTAGATATTTGAAAGAGATTTTTAACTAAATATAATTAAGATAATATTTGGTAGTATGTGAAAATTGTCATGTGATGATATGTTTTGAATGAATGATATCATACGCTCATTTTTTACTTATCTGAGATTGTGTTCACCATTAGCTTGCCCAATAAGACTTATTCACTTTAAATGAATATATCCTGTGTTATGTGGTTCAAATTGAATAGATTTAAGTATTTTAATCGTTGAGAAGGTCAATTAACTATCATAGAGCAAAAAAAAATACAAAAAAAGCAGACACATGAAGTTGTGCAGATTAATACATAACAAATATATTGGATAAAAATGTTTGAAGTTATAATATTCATAAAGAAAGATCACGAAAGAGAAATATACAAACATAGAAAAATGAATACTGGATTTAAACGTTCACGTTGATCGACAAGAGACATTAAATGTTGAAAATAATAATTATTGAATAAGCACTAGAATGAAATATGAAAAAAGATGATAAAAGTTTATAATAATAAAAAGCTACCTTACCTTTTATTCATAGATCAAATTTTGATAATGTATTATCTATAATTTTATAATATTTTTTTTATATTAAAATCTGAATTAAAAAAATATTCTATAATATTATGTAACAGAGAAACAAAAACTCACTGTTATATTTTTGTTGAACTAATCTTTATGATCATCACCTGATTCATCCGAATCCCAAGTATATTGCTCCATGTTAACATAACAATCATAATTTAATTGTTCAACATTATTATCACTTGTATCTATATTAATCTTTCCATCATCATCATCATCAACATCATCATCTTGTACATAGGTTAAATTGAATGATTCTATTTCAGTTTTTTTTTTATATAATTGTGCAGTTTCGAATATACAATATGTAAGAAATAATGGTTTAATTTTATCAGACATATATTTGACACCTAAACCGAAAGAATCTGGTGAAATTTGAATACGACGACAATTCCATAAATGAAGTAATAAAATACTGAAAACTGTTGATGTTGGATATGCCAATCGACGTAATGACAATTTAAATTCACTTAAATATCTGAAAGATTGCTCGGCAATGCTTGTATTGATACCACCATAAATTTCATCATTTCCAGTTAATGCGCAATCAGGATTAGTAATTGTCTTGCATATGCTATGTACATGATTCTTATGATGAAATCTGTCCACGGCTACCCGTATATTGAACAAAATTGTGCTTGAGGGAGTTTCTTTCAAGTGGATTCCACGGTATTGTTTATTCCAGAATAATTTTAAATTACATGCAGCATCATAAATCATAGCATTAGGTAACTTTGTACCCATTTTGATCATGGTTAAAAGATGATCAGTAACCATGCGGACCCCTTCATGGTTGATTGATTCCGTAAACCCTATGATGATTCCACATGATAAAAATGAAGCGAGAAAACCCATACTTCGACGTTTTTCTTCATCTTTACCAACTTCTTCTGATCTAACTACGTTACATGATTCATGTGTTGTATTATTGTTCAAAATATTTTGTTTTTGAATAGATTTTAATTCATTATACCATGCTTGTTCACGTTGATTGTGTTCCTTTGTCGATAAAGACATTGTTTCTTCTAAATTTTGATGAAAATAGCAATAAAATGGAGAGAGTTCTAAATAAAAAAATGAATTATATGACGTTATTGTTCAGATCAGTTATTACTAAAGGAATCATAATTTCAAACATACAATTATGTAAGATATGAGAATATTTTTTTTTCTATCATATTTATACAAAGTTTTCTAATATAATAATTTTACAACCTATTTTTAACTTCTTTTTTCATTTAAAAATAACACTGCTTTTTAAAAAGTAGAAATTTATATAATTAGAGCTCCATAGACTTTTATAAAGGAATTTCAGATACTTACTATTCTTGTTTTTTTTATCAGGTGTACGCCGCTTGGGCTGATAAGGGCAACCACGATTGCAGGGCCCTAATTCTTCTTGGTTCACAAGTGATGTTACATTATCAAAACGACATACTGTGCGACGGGGCTTTTGATGGCCATCGAGAACTAATACTCGTGAACAAATTGATTTATCACAAACACATTCAGGAATGAGATTGTGATGTGACCAAAAGATACTGAATAGGTTGTACATCCAATCTAAACGTTCTTCAAGAAATTGTGCTTTGACATTTATTATACCACCAGCTTGAATATTTCGACCTAAGAAAAAAAAATAGTATTTAAATATAATAAGTATTTGCTTAGAATAAACTTTATATTTGACATTTTCCTGTAATTGACAATTAGAAAATTTTATTTTCTTCCTGAAAGGTTTCAAGTTTTTTAAAATCTTACCAGCAAAAAGTGCACGTGGAGCAACAATTTCTTTTTCTGAACTTGTCATAAAGATAAAATTAAAAAGCTCGAAGTAAATCCAATGAGCTTCCAAAGAACGAATCATTTGTACCGAATCAAATTTTTTATTAAATTCAGGATGAAGACGTGCAACTTTTGATAATAAAGATGTACCGGCACCATTACAACTAACATGACCATTAACAAGATCCGAAGAAAAAGATACAAGGATTTCACGTGAAAATACTAATTTACCAGATGATAAATGAAAATAATTATTTTGTTCAAGTGATTCTGGAGTAATAATAATTTTTTTCTCATTGTAACAATAGATTGACGATATACGATAACTTCTATTACAACTACCACATTCACCACTATATAATGTACACGGTTGAATTGATGTTGGATAAAGAATAAAACCTGTCATATGAAATTCGATTTTTAATTGATTACCACATTCAATATCACCTAATATATTGTTACACGTTGTACGAAATGGTACTAATGAAATTATATTTAAATCTTGTATATATGGATGATGGGGGTGATTGATTTTAAAACGATTAATTGTATCTTGCAAGTCAATATTAATTCCCATTTCCATTTTACTTGTTGTATTAGCATTAATAATATTTCTACAATAAAGTATCTGGTCGAATGAATATGTTTCTTGAAGTTCGTGCTGAATTAATTCACATGCAAATTGATTTCGCGCAGTTGTTACAGATGATGTTTTTTTCGGTTTTAAATATGATGGCATTGCATATTCAAAAGCAATTAGTAAACAAGTAGCTTTAAACGATAATATATTAAGGAGATTCATGAATTGTTGTTTCGTATCCATTCTTGTTTCTATAAAGATTAAATGAAAGTTATTATTTTAGTTTATTTAAATCAAAATCTCATGATTCTACGTTAAGAAATTGTCATATTAGATTAAATTGCTTTTCGCATAGAAGAGTGAAATGTTCTCTACTTAATTTTTTACCTTAAAAGACAAAGAGAAACGATTAATTTAATTCTTCTTTATTTCTTTCTATTATTTCTTTTGAACATTTTCATAATATAAATAGGAATTTATAGCGACAAGATTTTAAATATAACAAGAAAAAATAGTGAGTAAATGAATAAACGCATATAAAATGGACAAATAAATACAAACAACGATATTTCTCACTTTTAGTACAAATGTGATGAATGAATATACATCAATATTAAAACTATATGATATGTATAGAAAGATAAAAATAAAAATATACAGAAAACATCATGTATATAACATAGAAAAATAAAACTGAAAGTATAAATGTATTAGAATCTTGATACATATGTTGAAAAAGAAACAATACATAAGGTGATAGAAATCAAAGAGATAAAATATAATCTTTCAACAGAAGTTATTGTAAAAATGAAGACTAGATCGAACAAAATACAAGTTTCGAATTAGAAAATTTATCAAAGAGAGAAAAAAAATCACGTAGAAGTATACAAATACTTATGTCTTTTTTTAAAATTAATTGTTGATTTCATATTGTTCGATAAATTTGAATATTTTCATTATTATTACACGCCTCAATGTTCTTTTGGGTTAGTTGGTTGTTAATCCTGTTTTTCGTGATGTGCTCGTTTTGCAACTTTTTGTGCCCGAAAAAAATCTGTTTCTAAAAAGGAACAAAGAGCATAAAATAAACAATATCTAGGAATACACTCACCATAACTTGATGTGGTTTTTCTTTTTAATGATGAGGGCTTTACCACATGATTCAGATCGATTCGAAGATAAGCAGAATAAAATGGATCAGATTGAAGCTTGTCAACAAATGCTTGTGTAAATTTGTTTTTGTTAGTATTGTTGTTTAAAACAGCAGGAACTGGTATGCCATTCTTGTATATAAAAGGAAGATGATTATTAAACGATTCTTTGTATTCATTCATATCAATGTGATATGCATTAAGTGCTGAAATAAGTCGATCATCTTCAGGAGAATTTTTCAAAAAAGCTTTTTGTTTTCCATTTAGAAAAGAATCACCATTTAAAAAACAACCAATATCCAAGAGTTTTTCAATACAGCTCTGACGTGCTGCATTAATCTCATCACTACCGGTTACAGTTCGTGAGAGATCACTCGCTGTTGCTAATACATGCTTGTTTAATATCAATTTTTTCCAAATTGGATGCTTATCATTTTCAACAACTTTAGCAATTTCTAGAAAATAATAAATAAAAAGAATTCGAAAATGGTAACGAAAGAAAGTTGAAATTGCCTGCTGTGGTAATAGACGATCCATTAGTTGATTGTAATAATGATGGACGACCACGTTTCTTGGTTGTTGCTGAAAAAAAAGAATTTTATCTCTGTACATATGTTTTTCATAAATGTATTATGCGTTTTTTATTTCTACTACTGTCGATTTGTAATATTAGTTATATTAAATATATCCTTAGATTTTTTTTAGCTCTCAAAAAACTGATTTCTCTGCACTTTAACTCACTTGAAATGATCAATGACGTATCTGCAACAGTAACCGATACAGTTGAAATAAGATCAATCATATCTTGAAGTACATCGACGACGACATCTACAATTAAATTTTCTTTAATTGTATCTTGTCAAATTTTTATCAAAAAAATGTTTTTCCAGAAGTAGATTTATTTACCATCGATGTATGGTTGTTTGTCTTCATGACTTTGATGATGCTCCATAATATCTACAATTGAAATAAACCCTATGAATTTTTAATTATCAATAAAATGAAAAAATACGTCGTTTTTTGATGATTTTTTACATAAGGAACAGAATAGTTAGAGATGAATGACTCATTCAGAAGGAAACGCATGATAAAAACAAGACTCATTACATCTTTATATTTAATTCACTAAGGTTAATAGAACATTCGGTCTTTTTTTAATTTAATTTTTTTAATTTTTATCATTGATATTTAATTTTATAATCATCGGTAAATTGTTTCACATGTTATGATAACCTAGCTATTGGTATTGTCAAAGGTATCAGAAAATATAGAAAAATACTCACAATTTGAACTTGTTGAACCAAGTTGAATTGACGAACTATTTAATACTTCTATGATTTTGTTAATCGAATTACTTGATATCAGTTGTAATGGTGAAGAAAAATTGGTTGAAATGGATTGAGTTGAAGAATTTCGATTGATTGGTGATGAAGAACAACCATTATTAATCATAGAAGACAAAATCATAATTCCGTTACCATCAGATCGATTGGAATATGATGTTGCAGGATCAACTAGAAAGTTCAGAGATGATTTATTGTTGTGTCAAAGGGAACAAAACAAATTATACCAGGTAAAATTGTTGAAGAAGAATTATTTTTATTATTGATTGGTGTTGAATGACGTGGTGGATTAGAATTATCATCTACTAATAAAAATATTAATTATTACAGCTAATAAAAAAAGGATACAATATTGAAGTGTTTAGATTTTGAAACGTGTCTAAAAGAATGATTAGTTACTACAGCCAACCAACATCAATCAATTTTTCATGAAGAAAAAATGATGTATAAAAATGGTTGAGAATTTGTCTTTCACTCCTTGTATGTACATAGCATTTTTTTTGTAGCTTCGTTCTAGCCTTTGCTGTAATGAAACTCTATTATCAGTTCAAGTCTTTTTTAAAGTTAAAAGAAATTTAAGCTTATCTAAGCAATGAAAAACTATAGAATCTAGCATTTAATGTTGTTTTGTTCGCTAGCTTTAAAAATATATGAAAGACTGAAGAACGAAGAGGAATGCTATTTTTCTATAAAGACGATGGTATTCAGAAAGAGATAAAATCTGAACTAATCATTTACTTGGATGAAAAGCATCAACCATATTTTCTTTATCAATACATAATTTGAAAATTTCAATTTCCATTGGTGATTCATCTGTTGTTGGTCTTGGTGGAAGAAAATCAGAAGATGATGATGCAAGTAGATTTGACTGATCTGAAAATGCATCTAAAAGACGAATATTAAAAACAAATAAGCGAACAGAATAACCAAAAAAGAAACTTACTATTGATAACACTACTAAGATACAAATTTTCTTCAACTTCCTGTTGACCTGATTCATCTATAATTAAAATAAATTTATTCAGTTGGATTAACTTACTCAACGTACTTGTCGCTTTTTTTCCAGATTCATATATGGTACCATTCATATGTGATTTATTTAAACCAAAACGACCATTGAATTCAATAATTTGACCCAATTTAACTCTATCTTCAATCATTGATTTTGCCATCGGGTCGTTGAGAAATGTATGGTAAAATTGTACCCATTCATCACCTTTAATTAATTCAATACCAGAATCATTGAAATGCATTTTTTTCGGCAACGATGAATTGTCGTAAATTTTTTTGTATTTGTTGAAATTGACTCCCATATTCTAAACATAAAAAATGCAGACTCTGGTTGAAACTCGTTGTCGTCAATTTGAAATTTTTTTTTCTATTAATAAGCGATGTTGTATTTCCATAACTCAAAATTGATTCTACTCAAAGGTTTTGGAGCATTCAATTATTTGTCAATTTAAACCTACAAAAATTCAAAAAAGTACCTGAAGTTCTTTCATTCGTGATTCTGATTGTTCAAAGTAAGATGGCTGTTGTTTGTAATAAGATGATGATAAATTGTTATTCTTTGATGGCCGAGCTCCTTGAATAACATTACATTTTACCAGAAAGCCTTTTTTTAATAAATTTTCCATAATCACGTCACGCTTGAGATCAGTAACACTTTTTTGTTTGAACAAACCACTTCCACCTCGTGAAGTATTTATTGATAAATATCCATTTGTAAAAAATATGGTTGGAGTCATTAAAATTTTTGCCATTGCATTATCCATTCGTCGTTCATCAATTGTTCTGAAAAAAAACAAATAGTTTTTTTTTGAATATATTATTAAATAGAGGAAATCGTCTTCCGTCTTTTTAAATCATCAGTTTTGTTTTTTTTTTCAAATTAAAAACTATTTAGAGTTATAATTCTGATCAAAGTTTAAATATTCTCGGTAAAATATACATTAGTGAAAAATATAATACTTTGTTAATGAGAAATCTGTTGTTGTTGTTTTTCCCAATCGTGTATCAACAATGTGTTGAATTTTATTGGTTGAAAATAAAGTTGCAATTGTTTCCAACTTCCATCGGCACCAAGAGTACCCAACTTCAACATCATTTGGTGTAAGTAAAATAATTTTAATTTTTTTATTTTCGATTTCGATTGTTCGAGTATATTCTTCGAAAAAATCATTTATTACTTGATTTAATTTATTCGAAAATGTATCAGGAATTAATTTTGAAGGATAGGAACGACTACCCTCCTGTGAGTTGAGATAAAATAGCATTTGTTCACCCATTATTTGAAATAATAATCGAACAACTTTAAAAGTAGCTATTGCCTTCGGTAAGTGATAAGGAATTTTACGCCACATTTCACCAACATGTTTTTCTAAAGTAAATGATTCAACCCATATTTCATTAATGCACGTTGTTGCTAATTGAAATGCAGAAAGTAATTGATCAGATGAATCATTATTATTAGCAGGTGGTGATTGTTGTAAAACATCATATTGATCGATTGAAATTGTGTGGAATTCTGGTAAATGAACCTTTTGTTTTTTACGTGCATTTTTCATATGCACACTAACTTCACCTATAATTAAAAATTCATTATCAAATAACATAATTTCTTTTCAAAATCATTTTTTTCTGTATTATTTATCTATGATGAAAAGCAAATAATCGATTCATTTAACTTACTTCGCGCACGATCATCAAGGTCTGATCTAAACAATCC